ATCCTTGTTCGTTACATTCCAACACAGTAATAACACTTCAGTCCAATGACCCTATCACAAGGACTACGAGGAATTATGTAATTTGGTAAAGGAAATGAGAATAGTAATGTTTCAAGAACAGCCTATAATCTTGTTTTGATTGATGTTTTCTTAACTGCTGTTAATTCACTGCAGTACGCGTTCCGAAAGTCTCACGATGTTGGCAAATTGTGTACAACACCTTTCGCTCCAGCTGAGACTCGAACTCGTACTTGTGCCATCCGGGCACCATGCTCCTATTTCTTACACTATCGAGACCCCGCTTTTCCTCGCCTTCTTAGTGACTTTTATACTATAGCTTATCGGCACTCACATGGACAACGTGGTGAGCCGGTTAGCCAATGTCAGTATTGAACCCTCAAGCTGTGAGCCTATGAGGTTTTTTTGCCATTGTTGAAGTGAAAACGTTCGCGTTCTGTATTCATTCTTGTTGTGGGGCTGAGTTTGTAATGTATGAGTAGTGGCAACTCGTGTCTAGGTGCGTGTTTGTGACTTTGTGACTCTTAGCGTATGAGTCATATCAAGAAAAGTCGGTCGCAAACGCTTCATACAAGAGGTGCGAATATTGTTGTTGCCTCGCTGATTTTCAGCAAGTTAATAAGGAGTATAGTGCATTGTTTGCACGCACGAAAGAAAACCGCGGTGACGTAGAAGACACCATTCATTGAATAGATCGTGCATCTGTCTTCTATTTCACTTTCCAAATATATATGAAAGGACAGTGGGATAGTGTTTACAAGTGTATCTCATGTCTCCACTCAGAAAGATCGCGAAGTTTGATCCGTACCAAGGCGAAACATGCCTTGCAAGAATTGCAGGAATGGTCTCGCATCAGGCTCAAGTTGACAGGCCGCCTGATGGCGAAGACATGCAATATGAAAACACAAGCCTACAGCACTTACGCCCGCGTCCTGTAAACAGTGTAGAGGGCTACCAGAAGTTAACGTCTCTACCGAAGAAGTCACTTCGAATGAAACCCTAGACGATGAACCGTTTACTGCAAGGTTTACTGCAATATCTCGAGATATTGCTGTTCACATGAGGTTCAGGAACATGTATGCCCTGCGGCTTTAGAAAACAGATTGGAAAAAGCAAAAGTCAGAGAAATTGGGAATGTGTTAAGTTCTACTACTCTACTACAGCAGAGAAGACACCCAAAGAAATGGTGTGACTAAAGCAGTAGCAGACTTCTTTGAAGAATCAGTTCCCCGAGAAGCTTGAAAAGTAGGGAAGATCGCCCAGCATCAGGCTGCTCAGGACATCGAGGTAGTGAAGTCGTAATCAGAGAGGGTGCTATCCTGAGGAACCCGAGTGAGCAAAGCAGCTTACAAGGAGTTGTCCAATCGCACTATGGACAGAGGATGAAGTTTTTTGTGCAGTAGGGAAGATGAAGGAAGAAAAAGTGACTGATCTGGATGGGTTAGCAATACAAGCTCGAAAGAAGCTCAGAAAAGATGGAATTAGGTGGCTCACCCGTTTCGGAAACACTATGACCACCAAAAGAGGAATTGCAGCTGTAGGAGCAGAACTATCCTTTCTATGTTCAAAGAGAAAGAGGCGCGACGGAGTGTTCAAAATGCCGGGCTATTAGGTTGAGGGCACCTGTTGAGAAGGGAACTGGTACCGATTTTGCAGGAGCACTTCGGCCTCATGTCGGAAAGTCCTACAACGAACGACGCCTTGTTCACTAGGCAAGTGATGAACATCGAGATCGAGAAAAGCGTAGACCCTGCTACTTGCTTTCCTCGGTTTGGAAAAAATGTTAACCACTTATCACGACCAGTCCTCTATAGAGCGCTCCGAGTAGGAGCCGCTCCAGATAATCTGATCTCCGTGGTCCTCTATGGAGCGCTCCGACATGTACGATGGGTCTAAAACGACTATACGTAGTCTTTTCAGACTAACAAAGCAGTAGACGTCACGGTCGGGGCATAACAAGATCAGCCCGGGTATTTCCTGCAAATAGTGGCGCATCAGGAGGCACAAAAGAAAGGAGAAGCCATAGATGCTCTAATGGCAACGAGAGCTGATCCGAGGCAGGAACCGTGAGAGACAACTTAATTTCACAGTAATGAGGATATAGAGAAAGTGTGCGGTTGAAGTCTAGAAGACCAGAGTATCATCCTTCAAGAGAAGCAATGAAATTTGAAGTCCTAGGTGAGCAACCACGATGAGGCTCAAGGAACAGAAGTCGGGGCGTGATGAAGAAGGATATCGCCGAAATCAAAATGACAACAGAGCATGCTATAGTTGAATTGAAATGGGGACGGTTAACAAGAACACCTGAAAGAGTTATTCCGAATTGGAAGAATTCAAAGTCATTCATTACCTCCCGTTGGATGGGGCCAAGCTGGACTGCGATAGGTAGGCTTTTGTGAAGTATTTGATTGCAGAGTATTATGATCACACAGCCTCGTTCTCGCTTTCGAAATATGTACTCTGATAGCTTGGAGTTTGTCTAATTGTTTTTCACCCATTTTCATGTCGAGGAGGAAGTTTCATCACTCATCACCACATTTAGGAATACCAAATGCAAGCGTTCGTTTGCCACCCAGATATTATCGATTACTCATCGACCAAATAGTAATGCTGGTCATAACGTACCTGTGTGTGCCCTTACTATCAATATGAATCAGATGTTGAGCTCTCAAATCCTCGAGAGTATTCCATGTGAAACTCTTATCAACAGCCTCAAATAGGTTGCTCTGACATATCACGATTTTTAGCTGGAATTTGCGAGAAGGAAGCAGAACTACAGCTCAGAAACGACTTTCTCTGTAAAGATATTCGAATTTAGTTTTAATTTGTTTACTTTTGTTCTCTTCGTGGCTATTTTTAGCGTTCGCCATTTGTAGAGTAAAGTCTTCCTGGAAAGGCGGACGTCGCAAATGTCATCTGAATCATCTTCATCGAATTTTGCTCTGGAACGCTTCAACCAATATAATGCGTATGGCTGTTTTTTGAGATTATCTGTTCCATGTGCCTGTGAGAAGCTTCTTCCTGCTTTCATCAAATTGATGCAGCTCTATAATACTTAGCCTACTCTCGCTTATTTACCATGATTTGCCATACGCAGTAGAAGTCGTCATCAACCACGTGTTTTGATTATTGTCACCTACTCGCACTCATTAATGCAAGCCTTCGATCAGGGGAGTTATGTTGTGGTCCAAAATGAGAGCCCAGGAGGGATCCGAGCTGATGCTCCGATACATAGAGGGCATATCTGTAGAACCTTCCGTTATGTATTGCCAAGGTTTTCTTGATTAATGACCCAGCACTTCCTCCTTCGAACACAATTTGGGAAGATTACCGATTGATTCTCGTGCTGCTTCTGCAGCGAGCACGTGCAGCCAGTATGGCTCTGAGCTACGGTTCAATTCTAGTCTGACGTCAAATTTCTCGCTAATATTGCATTCTTGGATTTCAATGTATTACTTTGCCTCAAGAAAAAACTCTATTGCAGAATGAGCAATAACACGGGATGTTTGAACTTAAATGATGAGCTATGGGAGTATCGTAGAGATTACACTACAAGGGTGAGTTGTGGTTTTAGCTTTGCCTTGAAAACCATCTTATAGGATATTTCCGCAAGGGATAGCAAGTTTTATTATAAGGCTGTTCGGGAAGTAGTTGCGTTTCTTGAAAACACGTGGGAGCGAGCCGCATGTGGAGATATCTGAAACGATTCTCAAGCGCTCGTTCGAGGAACTTTTTAGAAGCCTAAACGTTCTTCAGTTTATATCTAGTACAGACACATGCTTGCACTTTCTCGAAAGCAATGCCCCATAACAGAGCTTACGTGAAAACTGTGTTCACAAGCCTTGGTTCTGACAAATTTTCACCTTAAGGTGTGCTGATAACATTGACCGAAGCTGACCGTCACGTAGTCATGCCAGATGATGCTGAGAAGACAACACATACATGGAAATACTTTATCATAGTTTACAAGAAGGTCGAAAAGTTTAGACTAATGAAAAACTATATGTACAGTTGCCACTTGAGTGCCACATGATTCACATGACGAGGGTAAATAGTGCCGCAAAAAGCCCTTCGAGCGCTGATGAAGACGACTCCTTTTGATGCGAATAGTAGCTGGTGATAAAAGACCATAATGTTGCCCTCAAACGATCATGGTCAACATCGAATGAAACTGCTCGAACGAGTTCCAATTTGATCTTCATCAGTAAGAAGGTCACACCATCAAATTGATGGGATCCTACGAGTAAGATCTAGTTTGAAACGCACTCAAGGAATCAGAATCCTAGGTTGAACCTTTATTCACTGGAGCTTGATGAGTTATCAAGAAATCCTTCAAATCTAGATAGCATACAGTGCTGATCTTGCGCCAGCCGGATACGGTTGCAGAATCGTTATGTCGGGTATTCGGCAGAGTTCCTTAGAGAAAAACTTCACTGAAGATGGAGAAATCTAATTTCATGCGGTCCGGTTTTTTGGCGAAGACTTAGAAAAGAAATTTTTGTATTCCGGCTTTTTTGCCGAAGAAACCAGAAATTTTGTGAGAGTGATGCTATCAAATTACCAGGGGATGGCATGAGATAATCGAACGAAATGAAATGTATATCAAAGATTAATGCTCGTTCATGAGGGAGAAAACTGAAAGGCTAAAAAAATCGCATTTACTTTCCGAATAACCCAACACTTCCGAATTGCAGCTACTTTCTGAACAAACCAATATTGCTCCGAACTTTCAAACCCCGTCGAATAGTCAGCCGCAATTATTATTAATTATTATGCTGACTAATCGCCAAAAGTTCCCCTATATCACTGTGCACATAATCTAAATAGAGGTACATATATTCGAATGTGTAATAATAGCCTCGGGATTTTCAATGGTGATCTAGCGCGCGACTTATCATAATAGAACTAAACAACACCAGTTCTTCCTATAACATCGAAATTTTGCTCAAAAAGGAGTGAAATTTGTTTTTCAGGTTTCAACAATGGTTATCTTTGCAATTCTCTATTCAGTAATTATTTTGTGCGGTTTCATAGGGAATGTCTGCGTTATTGTTGCGATCACGCGAAACAAGTAAGCTATTATAACTAAGAAATTATGAATTAGACTTAATAATGTACTCAATACAACTCTACCTAATTGAGCTCCAACATATAGCTCTTTGGGAACGATTGCAAATGTGGTGCCACAAAACGTTGTGCCCAATTTGCATAGTTGACGACGTGTTGGGTGAAGTGACAGGAGTAGGAAAAAGTCATGTAATCACGGTGGTTGCCCCTAGGTTTGCAGTCACGTTATCGGTATCTGTCAGCTGTATAATCAATTTGTTTCGAAGAAATACAGTGCGTCTCCAAATGATACGGCCACCGCTATTTTTCCAAAAACTTACAATATACGATGTTTCTGAAAAAGTGCTGAAGTAAAAAAAGCGTCAAATCTGAATCGCCATTCGCAAAATATCGCCAACTTCCAGCTCGAGGATACAAATTTTTTTCTTCGTAAATTTTTCAGTAAAGGATGCTTTTCCAATGTCTTCATATGATACAGCCACTTCATGTCTTCGTGTCGTGTTTTAGTTCAACGCAACGGAATTGCTTTGTTTATGTAATGTTCTTCACTTTCAAGCAATGGGAAAAAGAAAGTTGCTTCCGGAATTCAAGAAAGGTCAAATCCTCGCAGAAAAGGAGCGTGGACTTTCGAATCATAGAATCGCGCGAGATTTGGATCGATGTCACGCAATTGTGGATAACCCTCAAAAATCCTGAACCCTATATGACCAGAAGAATAGCTGGACGTCCTTCGCTGCTTCCCGACAGAGACAAGCGCCGTATTTCAAGGGAAGCGTCGAAATCCACCAAGTCCTGTATGGAAACCCGATCCTCTCTGAACCTCAATGTCTCAAAAACACAGTTTGAAAGGCGATCAGAAAGTCCAAACTTATCGGTAAGCGGAAAATGCGTAAGGCATGTATCATAAAAAAAAGACCGAGAAAATCGGGCCGCTCTTGCCAAAAAGTGAAGTCGAACCGAGTGGAATAAGGTGTTCTTCATGTGTTGGCATTTGATCTTCCTTATCTTGATGGTTTTTGTTCTTCAGGTCGTTTTTCCGATGAGAGAAGTTCAATTGTTATACTTTAGACGGGATCCGATTTTATTGGCACGGTCTGAGGAGGGAAAAACTTTAGGTTTCTAAACGGAACTTCAATATAGGAGGAGTCATGGTTTGGGTCACGATTTCATCGAGTATCCGTTTATGTTTCCTACCGAAAAAGATGAACTCGTCCTTCTATCGAACTGTGCTTGCCGTGCACTTCTCCCATTCTGGTGTCAGAATCGGCATCGACCGATCGGCATGTTTCTATGCAAGATAACGTCCCATTTCACGTCGGCAGGAGCACCCAAGCTCTATTCCCTTGGCATCGAATTGCACTCCTGCCCTGGCCGTCGAACAGCCCCTGTTTGAATCCTATGGAAAATGTATGGAGCTTCATGGTGCGGAAGATTTACGCCCAAAACAAGCAATTCCAAGGCGTCCAGGAGTTGATAAAAGCGACCATCGATGCATGGCACCAAGTTGACCAGGATCTGGTTGTCAGTCTTTATTTAAGCTTGGACCACCGTATTTTCGAGGTAATTCGAAGGAATGGTGGACCAAATGATTATTGGCTTTGCAATTTTCTCTCCTTGCTGTATGTATGTTGCTGAATAGATTAATTTTGTTAGGGCTGAATCGTTGGAGAAGCACCCTTTTCTAAAAAATTGACGAAGAAAAATGTTTGTGTTCTCGGGCTGGAAATTGGTGCTAATGTGCGGGCGGCAATTCAGATTTGACACATTTTTTACTTTGGCACTCTTTCAGAAACATCGTATAATGTGAGATTTTGGGAAAATCAGAGGTGGTTGTATTGTCTGGAGACGCTATAGTATGTGCTATGTAGGCTTTTCCTGACGACTGGTAACCATATGGCCAGAAAAGATCATTCGTTGTTCGCTCATACTTTTGTGTCGGTGCGTGATTGAGAAGAGAGGGAAGATTCATTAGAAAACATGGATGAATGTTACAACAAGTTACAGTTTAAATACTGCTACAGCTCGCCAGATCTCCTGGTCAAACCGGTCAGACTAGTCCGACCTGATACCACAGGTGCACCACAAATACAAGGTTCCTTGTTAGCAAGACGAGCGGAATTTGTGAGGCTAGTAGAGGCTTTTGGCCTGTTCAATATCCCTGAGACCTCCCACCCTTTTTCACTGAGACGGCATAATTCTACAACTGTATTGGAAAATGCGTTTAAATATCTAAATATCGTGATAATTCTGAGGGACCCGTTTTTATCCGAAAAGCGGAATTATAGATTGGGACTTGTTCACCATCAGTGAAGAAAGCGTATGAATTCGCTGATCTCGAGAAAAATACGGCTTTTGAAAATAGGGAAAACAGAGGGTGGACGAGATTGCCATGATAGCATGAAATAGCATGAAAGGGGTATTCGGACGAGATTTCAATTATTGCAATTGCACAAAGAGCTGTCTACATCAAGCCAGAACTGTACAAAATTGTCTTTCACTGTAGCTATGGGTCATGATACGTTGTTTGAACTTCCTGCATGAGTCCCCTTGAGATCGGTGCAGCCTCTAGGGTACACACGGTTCTTTGAGCCTTTATATCTCTCTAACCAGGCCGTTTTCCGACCTAACAGTGCCAGATGTGTTATACGCGGGGGCCTCAAATTCATCCTGTGGGGAATCTCAGAAATCACTTCTATCATGAACTGTGCCTTTAACATCATCGATGATATTACCTAAATGTTGCAGGGTTTTGCAAACGGTGCCAAATCTTTTTATTCTATCGCTGTCGTTTTCTGATATTGCTGTCTGCTCAATTTCTGCGACCATCACTCCTATAACTGCATTCAAGAAGGAATGGATTTTTGGTGAAATACTATGCCGAGTTGCTCCTTTTATAGCGGTACCTATACTAAATGATTAAAAATGCTGATGATTTTGACCATTTTATTTATCTACTTTCTAGGGTATCAGCTTATGCTTTTCAACATTCACTCTTACTGCGATTTCAATTGATCGATACCTTCTTATACGGTTTCCGATGAAGAAGCCTTTGACGCACTTCCATGCGGTTCTCGTAATTGGAGTACGTTTTAGTTTCAGCTATGCATTCCCTCAAGAGTGTTCACTACTGTATCATGTCAACTTTGAACTCCATTATTCAAACAATGTGAATTTCATGTGGAGCACGAGCAATTATTCCTAATCGTTGGATGATTCAGATACAAGATAAAGTCTAGATAGAGGCGCAGGGGGCTAGTGATGGAGCTGGTGTATTGGAAGGTGGTGTACCATCTCATACGTATGGTCACGGGTTCAAATCCCGGATCGCTATCTGCCGAGGCCAACCGAGCCTTTCATCCCTCCCGGCTCGGTTGATTGATACAAGGCTCGTCTGGAAACCAAAAACCACTGGTTTGTATATCGATTGGCCACCGCAGTTCCTTGTAATGCCAAATACACATTCAGATAGACACTACAAAACTTAATGGAAGCCGGTTACGGGGGGCCAAAGCCAAGCCAACCATGATTTTAACCAACCCCTTCCGGGAACTAAATAGCCTAATTCGGGATGAGTTAGGCTATTTAGTTCCGTGGGACTCGGGACTTGACTGACCTGGACGAGAACTGAGCTGGTATTCAATCCTCACAGCTAGACCATGCATAGGTGTTAGCCTGCCTTTTGCCAATGCACCAGCTTAACATGTAGCTCCTTATCCAGTGGAGTATATTGAAGAACAAAGGCCAAGCCAAAACTACGCACGCATGCATAAAGATATAAGCGCATTGATGCATCTGCAATTATGGCGGATGTTTTCACATCTAATGAAACCAGTAGGGTCATGCATCTCTACTTCCCTTCCCCTGAAAACGCAGCTTTCTCCATGCACTCTTATTTTGTGAACATTGTGTACTTGAATACAATGATATAGAATATCGGGATCTAATGACCATAAATTGATAACTTTCGCCCAGAAGTCACATCAGACGTCCTACCTGAAGCCTCACTGAAACCATAAATATGACAGCTGGAAGAAAATAACCATTGCCTCTTTGGAGGCGTCATCAATTCTTGAGCCCCTGTAGACAGGTAGATCAATGGTTCTTTTGGATACGGAGGAAAAACAAGCCAAAAGAGCAAATGATGTGCCAGACATTCCTGCGTTCTCTTTCTCCCGACTAATTAAATAAGCGCAGCGGATGTGATGCAAGCTTTAGAAGCGGTGCTTCCAACCATTTTGTAAGATAGGTCGGCGCGGTCAACCACGCTTTTTCTTGTTGACGTTAATGAACTTTTAAGCAGCAGAACAGCGTATTATATAACATCCGAAATTGGTCAACACCATTAGTAAGTTTAGTGATTTTTTCAAGCTCTAAGGGTTTTCATGTTAGAAATTGAGCATGGGATTACCTTTATCAAAACTTAACTTCGACTATCAAATCCCTCAGAATCCCGATAAAGCATGCAGAGTGACTCAGACACTCAATATTGGTCCACTACTCTAATTTTTAACAAAGAAACTATTAGGTTGTTCGGGAAGAAATGCGCTTTGAGCTTAAAAACTTTTCTATTATAAAAACGAAACTCAACAAGATCAATTCAAAAGATTACCTTTACTACTATCAATGACTTGTTGCCAACGTTCACGCAAAGATTTGATACTTCTTCTGAAGAACTCGGCCGGCTGCGACCAAAAGTAGTTGGATACCCGCAGTTATGCTTTTTCGCGGTTTTTGAACTTTTTCTCGGTCAGGGAGTGCTGCATCGACCGGAATAGATGGTAATCGGATGGTGTCAGGTCTGGGCTGTTTGGTGGATGAGGCAGGACTTCCCAGCCCCTACTCCTCAATTTTTTCCAAAGTGATTTTCGCGATCCATACCCACGACACGACCTGCAACGCGACGGTGTGATACCCATTTTCCGCACCTGTTCGTCTTGCCAGTTGCCAGCACATGTTCATGGTTGGTAGGGTTTAAGCAGCCAAAATGTGTTACCAGTTCTCGAGTCGTTTGGCGTGGATCCAATTCAATGACGACTTCAAAACTTGGTCATCGATGACTTGAGACCTACCATGTTCTTAGTCCTCTGACCTTTCATTACTGTTTTTAAAACGCTGGCACCATCGTCGACACTGATTTTCTGACAGGACTTTTCGCCAAACACTTAAATGATAAGTTTCAGCGCCGATTTGACTTGCTTGAAGTCGTGCCACATGCAGGCTCGCAAAGGGAAATGTTGGTCAAGCATTTCCTAGACTTTTTTTTCAAAAAAAACAAAGTACACATAAACAAAAGTATATCAAAAGATGCACCATAAAAATCTCTTTCTAAAAGATTAAACTGTTCCGAAAAATCGCGTATAGTGGGAGAGAAATGAATGAACAAATTCAACGCCCATTCCTTTGCGAACAATCTAATAGTACTAAAATGAACTTAGTGAGTCATTTCAATCATGCTATTTGTAGAGCTGGTCAGTTTTCGTAACTTCTTCTTAGTTGAAAATAAAAGGATAAAGCTTTTTTGTGCAATCAATCCCGTCTGAGGGATGCGCCCCCGCATCCCACAGACGGGATTGATGCACTGGCCTTCCACTCAGAATCGTAGTGGTGTAATGAGTGCGTATGCGGCCGGCACAATGACTTGCAGTGGCCAGCGGATGTACAAGTCAGGGAAGACGTGCATTACGTGCGCCCAAGGACGGCGCACGGCAACTCGCGCGGCGAAGATCGTGACGATTTGTACAACTTTGACACCAATTTTCGGGTGAGAAAGCAGAAAGTAGAGTAGTTTAGTAGGGTTAGGTGATCCTTCTAATCTACTGCACTTCAAATTTAGGCCCCAATGATTGGCGCTAAAGTCGTTCAAATCGTTACAAACTTCGCCACGCAATTTGCCGCGCGCATCCTCGGACGCACGTGAATAGACATACCCACAAGTCAGTACTTTTATCCTCCAAGAGTCTGGTGCCAATTAATCGACCCCGGAGAGACGGAAGGCTTCGTTGGCCTAGGCGGGGATCGATCCGGGATTTGAACCCCGACCGTGCGTGTTAGATAGTGCGCTACTTGCCACTACACCACCTCCGCCCTTCTTCTTAGCTATCAGAACAAGTCTAGGCCATTATAAAGAAGTTCACATCGCAAAAATTTCTTCTTGTCCAAATGCGTTCCAAGGGTTCACCGACTATTCAACGATTGCTTTATCAGGACTCCAAGTAGCATAAGCGTATCCACTGCTGCTTTGACGTTTCGTCATGAATGCTTTTACATGATCTAACGCGTAAGAGTTTTAAATGGCTCGGCTAAGGACACAGCCTAGATGGGTCCCAAGACATCGTTCATTCAATGTTTGAGGACGATTTGGGTCTCGAATTGATCCCCTCGCACCTTTTAACGAGAACGCCTGCTGGATGATTTTATATGTCGTCCGTAAGTCAAGTACCCGATCCCAATGGGAAGCGAACTCAGTTGATGTCATCACCCTACTTTCTTTGAGAGGTCTATTGGGATACACAAGTTGGTTTCTAATAGGGGCGAGAAACGACCGCTGTTAGACTTCCATGAGATGCTGCGCCTACCCTGGTTTCATTTAAAACTCCATGAGCTTTGTTGGATATTATCGTATGCCCTGGAAATTTTACTGACAATGCCAGCAGTTCTGGGAGTATCCGAAACCGATTTCGGAGACTTTTCTTCAAGCACGTTTTAGATAAAGTTTCAAGTTCTAGCTATACAGCAACAAAACTCCACTTCTTCTTGTCAACTCATGACAGTGATTAGAGGCAGAAAATGTGGAATTATTTGCCTTAAAATATTCGAAATATTCAGCTGACCTGCGTCCTGGCCGCGTGCATTTCATCTCCTATTATATTTCGACAAAAACTTGGATCTTTCGAGAACTTTTGCGGACAATATTGTACAGGTATCATCCAGAATTACGTTCAGTCTACCATTCTCTTACTTCTTCTTCAGCGCTTGTCCCGCTTAGTTGCTGGGTTCGCTTTTCCGGTGTGTTGACGCCGCCTTGCCCGATTGAATGCCTTTTCAGGGCGACTTTTAAGACCTCATGCCAGGTTTCAAAAAAGCGCTGCTTCGGTCTTTCTCTAGGTCTTTCTCCAGACACGTGGGGTTGAAGCCAATCTCAATTCACTGTGTTTAGGTCGCGCGGATGTGCGAAGCTCACTGAAGACGGGCTTCGCGCATTTCATCAGCAATAAGGGCTACTCAGAATGTTCCTTTTTAGCACCGTTGCCAATAGTGCCCAAGTGCGTAGCTCCAGCCGTGGCTGGTCGTATAACAGTCCTGTAGATCTTCGATATGAGGCGCTCAGGTATTTTTTTGTCGCATAGAACGCCAGACTTCGAGCGCCGTCAAGACCAGGCCGCACTCATACTTGAATTGACTTCAGAAGCTAGGCTACCGTCAGACACGATTGCCAATCGAAGGTGCTCGAAGATAGGTACGTGGGAACTCGGTGCCATCAATCTTGATAGTGCATGTTAATTTGACTCGGTGGTCAAGACTTAACTTTTCAAAGTTCTGCCGGAGCCCGAACATTGCTATACGGTCGGACAAAGCTTGCACTTGAGCTCATGTACTTCGTCTTTTCTTCAAGCCAGCATTACGTCGTCAGCATAAAAAATCGTTCATGGTGCTGGTTTTTGAAGATATTATGTGATAACATCCACGAAAGCAAGAAGAAGTAGTGGAGAGAGTGCGGAACCTTGGTATACTCTTATGGAAAGGTGAAATGGCGAGGAGATACTTACTGCTGTTTGCACTCGACTTGCTGGAATCGGCAAATTGCGCGGCGAAGTTCGTGTGTATTTGAACGACGTTGGCGTAGGTGGTACTGCAACCGTAGTTAAAACCACATTGGTTGATGGAGAGCTGGACGAGTTCTCAAATAAGGCGGCCTGTAATTTAATCGACCGATGTTTCATGCAGTCTGAGGGGCCCTTCCTCATCAGCTGCCAAGTGATCTGGACCACTTACAAGGGCCATTCAAGATGAGGCGTAAACCTCTGTAAGTGGTTTCGAACGCCGACCTCAAATCTGTGTTCCAAATCTGCGAAACGATTCTGGGAACAAAGTTGCGGGATCGATTCCTCCCTGACTTAAGCCACTGCACTGAACGGATTACCGAGCCGAGCAAGGACGTTGCATGTGCAACGGTGGCCTAGCGGGTATTGTGGTGGACTGGTAGGTGTGGCATCAAGGTTCGATTCCTTAATGCATACGCTCGATTTGCTTTTCCATGAAATGCCTCCCAAACGCTTGCAAAATGTTTTTGGGTTCAATGCTGGGCATCTACAAGGCTCTCTCATAATTTAAGAACACTGGAAAGGTATTTCAAGGGAATTTTTCCGCCCATAACTGGCCAAATAAGGGTGGAGCTCCAGCTCTAGCAAAAAAAGAATTCCAAACATTTGCTCGAAATGAGCTCAAGAGGTTTCAAGGAGAAGGGATCTAAATGATTTATCTGATCAAACGATTTTCGACATGTTACCAGCGAATCTTCTGGCCGAATGTGGTATCATCATATTAGATGGAGGGCTTTCGTTCTTGCAGCATATCGTGGGCACAATTTAGAAAGAGGCGGTAATGAAGATCTTTCAAACCATACTTTTCGATGCTATGAGAACAAACCCGTACTTCTTTCCGAGGAAATCGAGTCCGTGAAATGCGAGTACAATGATCCTCTGCGGTCGCCTGATGAGAACAGCGGCGATAGATCCGTAAATTCGCGAAAGAAACCTCGTGTGTTTGTGGGGATATAGAGGCTCTGAAATGAAACGTAGCCTTCACGTTTGTGATCTGGCTGAGAGGCTCCAATTTTGTGGCGCTGTTAGGAAAGTCCATAGCCTTCTATAGTTCAGCTGCCAAAAAAAGCCGTACCTCTTCGAAAGTGGGAAACAAGCGAACCGATCTGCCTACCCATGAAGATTAGCGGATAAGTTGGAAGGATTACCTGACATAAAATTAATATACAAGTCGCATTGCACGACAGCCATTTCCACTTGATACTGCTTCAAATCAACAATGAAGGCCCATAGGGGACGACCTCAGAGCAAATCGTAGGTGAATTCAGGGTTTTCAGTTCAGTGGTAACATGCCCCACCGCACCACCACGATTACCTCATGAAAGAGCGTTTACCGGAAGTGTACACACAAAGCGATAAACTATTGTCCTACAATATTTCCTCAACAATGCCAGTTAACTTAACCGCCACTTCGAAAACGAAGTAAGTATTACTAGAATGTATACACCGTGTCCCTCCCAAAGAGAGATGTGGTCGGGTGAGTCATTCGACCGCCGCCTACCGTAAGTGTAGGGGGCTGCCGAAGATTTCGAAACACCATCTTGACTGTTCGGGGTAAGGAGGCGTAGATATTCGGTCAGTTGAGGTAAAAAAAATTTATTGGTTTACTACTCCCCGAAGTCCTAAATCGTGAGAAAGCCTTGTAGGTGCCCAGCATTGAGCCCAAAAACGTTTTGCAAGCGTTCTGAAGGCATTCCATGGAAAAAATAAGCTCATGCATCAAGGAGTCGAACCTTGATGTCATGCTACCAGTCCACCCAACTATCCGCTAGACCACCGTTGCACTGATAAGAGCTTTGTTCGGCACGATGGTCCGTTCGGTACAGTGGTATAACACAAGGGAGGCATCGGTCTCGTAACTTTGTTCACAGAATCGTTTCGCAGATTTCGAACACAGATTTGAGATCAGCGTTCGAAATCCTTCCCTTGTTAGTTGCCTTGCCAGCCGTCATCTTGCTAATTGCGTTTTATCAGCTGTTATATCCTGTACGGGACTTGTACGGGAAGAGCGCAAGGTAGATGGAGATAGGCAAGTCCTGCAACCGAGTTTACGCGTTCAGCTCAGCCCACCTGCGCAGGCAGTTCTTAGTGGCAACCCGTGGAGGCGCAATCAACACACTTGAGACTATAATTATTGTGCCCCTTTTAATTATAGAAGATTGGAGCGATAATGAGAGCCAAAGGAAAGTCTACGGAGCAGCACTGTTATGTGTTCAGTTGGTAGTGCCTCTGACTATTATAGTGGTCTCCTATACTGCAATCTCGCTTCGCATTGGTCAAGTGAGTTCAACAAATCCCACCTTGGCTTGAGATATCCGCTAAATATGTTAATTTCCAGAGCGTAATCCTGAGAAACACTAAACGTGATTCAAGCTCCAATTGGAATGTGCAGCTTACTGATCAGCAACGGATGGCACTTAAAAGAAAGCAAAGGACGAATCGAATGCTTATCGCAATGGTGGTTGCGTTTTCAGCTAGGTTGGTTTGATGAAGCCGATGTTCACTTTGACAGTAAAGACGATATGAGCTCTGAACGTCAACATACTGGCTGCTTTCATAGTCCGCCGGTGTGCCAGCCGAGGTAGTGCTAGGGGGAGGAGGTAGGCAGACGGCCGGTTGACGCGGTCACGTCGCGTCCAAGCCCCTTCGGAGGGCTGAAAACAAGGAACAAGGTCAAAAACCAAACAACCAGGGGTCTGTGCAAATGGTCGTTGATCTTTTTTTCTCTGTTTTCAGCCCTTCGAAGGGGCTTGGGCGCGACGCCACCGCGTCGACCGACCGTCTGCCTCCCTCCTCCCACTTAGCACTACCTAGACTGGCACGCCGGCACGCCGGCAGGCTATGAAAGCAGCCACTGCTGTAAGATTTTTCGAATCTGAAAGCAAATTTATTTAAACTCTCAAAATAACAACATGTTATGATAATCGCTCAAATGTTCGATGAAACTGCTTACTATGCTCTACGAATGCCTGTTCAATTATCTGCCTCTATATATTTGGCAATAACTATTTGAAGAATGCTACACTTACTTGATAACCGTCCTCTTATCTTTACTGCAAATACAAATGTCATGTGAAATGCTGCTAGACCCGTTCACAGCAACTGCGGTTCTGTGTTTGCTTCACAAGCGGGGGCCACAAAATGATAAAACGTACATATATCGTGTGCCTGTGATGTGTAATAATGCGAGAAAAACCCTCTTCTTCCTCCCCTCTGCCACAAAATGTTTTGGTGGCCATTTCAGGGCCGTGATTCTCATGTTTGTGAACAAAGCTTTCGTCCAGTCAGAGATTAAATTGGTGTGTCAACAATTTTTAGCATTACGGTTGGAGCCCACAATACGACATGAAGCTCAAAAAGTGCTTATTTTTTCTAACACACGATTTTTCCTTTATATTTATACTGTATTTTCTTTGGTTAACGCGAGGCTCGGATGGCAACCTTGCATTGTTTTGGCACAGTGATTAGCGCCTTACCCGAAAAAATTCTGGAAGTGAAACAGCGCCAAAAAATGAAAGGAAGTTGTTTCTTATGAACAGTTGAAGCTAACACTGAGGATTGTGGCGAGCACCTGTTCATGAATTTGCGCACTTAACGGTTCCAGCCTCTTTCGAGCCAGAGATAGCCGAGTGGATAGGAGAGAAAGCTCAAGTCTGCAATTAGAAAGAGAGCGAGTTCGACCCCTGCCGAGGCAAAACCATGCCTTGCAAAAATGGTATCGGTATCAGTGTCTGGCCCGGTCCGACAGGGGTTGATGCGTAAACCTAGTCACACCAATACGTCAAAAGCCTCAAAAGGAATCAGTGATGAAGTTAGGATGTCGCATGGAAGTGGCGCGCATAACTCCGCCCGAGTCCTGTGGACCGTATGCGAGGGCTATCGAGGAGTGAAGAATCTCGGTCAAAGAAGTTAGTTCGAATTGGTACTCCGAACGTGGGATCGCTTGCTGGGAGATCCTAATGAGTCTCTGATCTGATGAAGCGCAGGACATCGATGCCTTCACGAGACTCGCTGGAAATGAGGAAAGGTCAGAGAAAGCGGAAAAGGCGTCAAGCCCTACGACAACGAAGAAGACAGTAGACGAATGGTGTGGTCATAGCAGTGCGGAGTCTTTCTGTGACTCTGTCTCTCCGCCGTCAACAGGATCAACAGTCGGATCAAGGCTGTGAGGGTAGACACGAAAGAAGGCTACCGAACAATAAAATCCATGCACGCACCACAAGCTGGCTGCTCCGTCTATGAGAAGGATGAATTCTTCCTAAGACTTGACGATGCCATCCGATCAGTTCTCGAAGGGGACTATATGCCATCGACCTTCCCATTTATCAAGAACAAGAGCGGAACAAAGGGTCCTGTGGTGGAAGCTGTACTGAGCCGAAGAGGAACACCTTGAAGAGAACATTCTCTAAACTGGACTCCCAGATCCCGAGGGGTCGATCCAGCAGACGTGGAGCAACGCTGTGATGGTCACTCTATGATGTGCGAGGGAAACGCCCGGACAGAGGCTCAAAGGAAACGGGTATCGCACAGTGGTAAGGACCACCATGCTCTACGACAGCGAGTGTTGGTCCGTAAGTAAAAAACATGAAGGGCAGCTCCGCACTGCTGAAACGCGAGTGCTCAGATGAGTCTGCGGTTAGACGCGGCTAGATCGGATCAGAAACGAAAAAGTCAGGGCGGCTATGCAGAAAGCCCTGGTTCAGCTGGAGATGAAAGAGCAGCGTCTGCGACGGCTCGTTCATGTACTAAGAAGACCACAGAGCCAACCGACAAGGGAGTTAGAGACTCAGCATAAGCGAAAAAGAGTGCCCCAAAGAAGAGACGGCGGGACGTAATCGAGAAGGGCTTAGCAGCAGCTAAGGTATCGGCAGAAGATGCCGTAAGCAGAAAGAAGTGAAGATGGCTGACGAGAACAGTGGACCCAGCGACGGCACCTACTTAACGCTAATGAGAAAAAGAAGAACGTTCCCAGTACTTCTAAGAACAAGGGAAACTAGAGGATAGCTTCGAGTTCGAGATCTAATCTGGAGTCTCGAGACGGTGTGCAGTGTATGTAAGGAGTCTTCTCCTTTTGGTCAGTCCAACCCACTGATCTTCCCAACATGTGTCGTCACATGACGCTTCCGACGCCTGTATTGTATAGTAAGAGCTCTCGTATTGGAACGATAGATCGTCATTTTAGTCTTTCTTCGTCTGACCTGTTATAGCCTTAAGATCATGGCAGTGGTCCAGCACGCAAAAGATTTTTTTACATTGATGTCACATACACTATGCTTTTTTGTAAATTTTACTGAAAATGAGCTTCATCAAAAGATTTGTGTTTGGAAGATTTTTTACTGTTTTCTATGCTCCGTAAAATATAAATTTGCTGCTCTGCCAACCAAGACCCTAATTTCGATTGTTTTCTTTACTGTCACGTTGTATAAGTCTGGTGGGTCTTGCAGTGGAACTGGCTAAATAGCATCTCCACCTGTGCTTCTTCTTGAGCAACGTTGATATAGTGGGAGGGGCTGCTGAAGTGACTTCAAGTTTTCTATCGATGTTCTGAGCAATATTTTTACCCAGTCCTCGTTCTCACGCTCGCGTTTGGACTGATCCATGATTCATGATATGCGGCTCAGTAAAAGTCAGCTTTCATGAACAAAGTCTATAATCCTCCGAACATTAGAAAAATTTGTGATTTGTAAGTTGACTTTGGGCAGAATTTGTTTTTGTATTATGTTGCAATAGTTATATCCTGAATCTGAATAGATCGACAAGATCATTAGAACTCCATTAATGGTGATCGAGTAAATGATAAGGACGTGCAGGGTTCCTCAATTTGATAGTGGAAATTCCAGCTGGATGTGGTCTGTAACATTCAATGTGCTCCGAGATTACGATTATTTACCACAAATGATAAAAGACCAGGAATACCTATTTGGAATCGCAACACACTGCATTGCTATGACGTCTACGGTATGTCTACATGTTCTGTTTGGACCATTTCATTTCGTTACAGACACCTGAAGAAAACGTAATTTAGGTATGGAATCCTCTCCTTTACGCTATGCTGAATCTCCAACTGAGAGCAGCCTTCATTGAGTTACTTCCGCAAGTCATTCGCATAAGGTTGCGGTTGAGAAACGATCATTCAATTCGACTGATAAACGGGACGCATCATTCTATAGCAGCAATACCGACTCTGAAGTACGGATCCAGTGATATCCAACAACAGGTGATCAACGAAGCATGAGTTTTACTAACTATTCCGTTTGCATATTTGGCGGCTCTGAGGCAGGGATAGCCGAGTGGACAAGAGTGTAGGCTCACGTCTGCACTTAGAGGGAGTGCGAGTTCGATCCCTGCCGAGGCAACTCCATGCCTTGCAAAAAATTGCAAAAATGGTATCGGTACCAGCGTCAGGCCAGGTCGACAGGCCGGCTGATGGAGAAACCCAGTCACAACAAACATGTCTAAAGTCTCAAAAGGTCTCAGTGATAAAGCTAGGACGTCACCCGGAAGTGGCGCACAGGATCCCCGCCCGAGTTCTGTGTACAGTATGCGAGGGCTACCGAGGAGTGAACGACCTCGGTCAAAGAAGTTAGTTCGAATTGGGACTCTGAACGTGGGTTCGCTTACTGGGAAGTTCCGAGAAGTCCTATGCCTCCAGTGGACCCGCTGGAAGGGAGCAAAGGCCAGAGAAATCGGAGAGGGTGTTAAACTCTACTACAATGGGGATGACACCAAACGAAATGGCGTGGCCATAGCAGTGGCGGAGTCCCTCAAAGAATCCGTCTCCGCCGTCAGCAGGATCAGTAGCAGAATCATGGCTGTAAGAATAGACACGAAGGAGGGGTATTGGACAATAATATCAGTGTATGCACCCAAAGCCGGCTGCCCCGTCTACGAAAAGGGTGAGTTCTATCTGAACCTTGACGAGGCCATCCGATCGGTTCCGGAGGGTGACTACCTTACCATAGCAGGTGTTATGAATGGGCACGTGGGCAGTGAAAGGAGGGGACTGGAAAGGGTACGTGGATTTAGAGGAATAGGAGTTAGAAACGAAAAAGGAGAAAGGGTTCTCGACCTTGCCATGGCCCATGACTTGGCAGTCTGCAGCACCTTTTCGCGAAAAGGAGGTCTCAGAAAGTAACCTACAGCAGTGGAGGGAACGAAGCGGAAATTGATCATGTGCTAGTAAGAAGGTCGTCCCTCAAAACTGTAAAAGACATCAAGGTACCGCCTGGATAAGAACTGGCTACACAGCACAGGCCCCTCCTAGCAGACATAGCCCTCGAACTTCCCAAGAAATCAAGGACAAGAACGGAACGGAGAGTTCGGTGGTGGAAGCTGCACCGACCAGAAAAGGAACATCTAAAGAGAAGATACTGGAAGTCGGACTTCCAGTTCCCGAGGGACCGATCCAGCAGACCTGGAGCAACGCTGTCAAGGTCATCCTAGAATGTGCAAAAGAAACGCTGGGGGAAACTCGAGGTGGTCTCCGAGGAGACAAGGAAGCATGGTTCTGGAACAATGAAGTCCAACGAGTTGTGGGAGAGAAGAAATTGGCCTACAAACATTGGCAAAAGACACGAGCTCTAGAGGACCTAGCTGCCTACAAAACTTCCAAGAGGCTCGCCAAGGCTGCTGTGGCGAAGGCAAAGAACATGGAGATGGACGCCTTGTATGAAAAGCTTGACATTCGAGAAGGGGAGAAGTTTGTCTTCCGCCGGCGAAAGCGCGTCACCGTGCCACTCAGGACATCGGGGTAGTGAAGCCCCTCAGGAACAGCGAGGGTGCAATCCTGAGGAAGCCTGGAGAGGTCAGGCGTAGGTGGAAGGAATACTTCGACAGGCTCTTCAACGAAGAATTCGCCCGTGAAAACAGCTCCCACTTGGAGGCAACGGCTGGCCCCATCAAACTCTGGACAGAGGATGAAGTGCGCATAGCAATAGGGAAGATGAAGGATGGAAAGGCAACTGGTCCGGATGGAGTACCGATCGAGGCATGGAAGGCGCCCGGAGAGCACGGGATAAAGTGGCTCACCCGATTCCTGAACACTGTCACCGCTGAAGGAAGAATCCCAGATGCGTGGAGGAGGAGCACTATCGTTCCAATCTTCACGCAGAAGGGGGACGCGATGGACTGTTCCAACTACCGGGTGATCAGGTCGACTGCTCACACGATGAAACTTTACAAGCGGCTGGTCGACTCAAGATTGAGAGAATCGGTCCCAATTTCAGAGGAGCAGTTTTGCTTCATGCCTGAAAGGTCTACAACGGATGCCATCTTCATAGCTAGGCAAATTATGGAGAAGTATCGAGAAAAGCGTAGACCCTGCCACCTAGCCTTCCTCGATCTGGGGAAGGCATTCGACCGGCTTCCGCGAGAAGTCCTATGGAGTGCGCTCCGAAAACGAAACGTGCCAGAACACCTCATCTCCTTGGTCAAGGATATGTACGATGGCTCCACTACAACAATACGCACTGCGCACGGCCAAACGGGAGCAATAGATGTCACTGTTGGGGTACACCAGGGATCCGCTCTGAGCCCGTTCCTCTTCCTGCTCACGATGGACGTCATCACAGAAGAACTTGTGGATGGACCACTGAAGACCATCCTCTACGCTGATGACATCGATCTGATAGCGGAGAGCAAGGAAGAACTTCAGGACAATCTCCAGAAATGGCAGAAAGTGCTGGCG